AGCACGAATCTGCTCTCGATTGTTATCGTCGTAGCTCTTTTGGTAGGACAACCGGGCTTCGCGTGTGCGCTGGTAGTAGCGCTTCTGCGCTGCATTAATGCGCTCCTTGTTAGCTTGGTATCGCTCAGGTGAGTATGCCATCTTTGTATATTATTAACTAACTTTATATTTATCAGGAATAAAAGTAATTGAATACTCGATAAATTTAAAGTTTCGCCTTACGTCAATCGGGCAGCTATCGAAGCAATCCAATACGCATCATGGTCAACTCGAAGCGGCTCGCCACACACTGCTCCTGGTGGCCATGCTATTTCATCATTCATAAATGGTGGATACGTATCAACACCATCCCTTCCTGACCAATCGAAATCGATCAACACGACTCGGTTCTTACTGGAATCCCACATCACGTTATGCTCCCGAAGATCACCATGGACGAAAGATCCATCTTTTAGAGTGTTTTCGATCTTCAGCAGTTGATCACGAACTATCATGCCATTGGCCTGACGAAGGGGACACAATGGAAGTTGCTCCATAACGACGAATACCCAACCATTAGGTAAAAATTCGCAGAACAGCAGTTTGGGAGCAAATCCAGCGCTTGAACAATAATCATGGACTTCCCTCCCGTACCGCTTGGCGAACTTGATGATAACGTTATTTCCAGCGTGATGCGCCTTGAAAACAAACCGCTGCACCACTTCCAAATACTGAAATGAGATGTCCGCGCCGTTGCGTTCGATAGAATCTTTATATGGGAATCTTAGTCGATCGAGAGTACTTGAACGCAGACCAAACGCACGGTTTTGACGACTAGCACTGAGCTCGTAGCACAAATTCGTCAGCTCCTGGACAGCAACCTTCAAGGATGCGCACATACGTGCCAACGATACCATCAACCACTCGTTGTCGAAAAAAAGTAGCGGGAAGCTCATGACTAGAGGCTCGCAAATCGCATCTTCGTCACTCGTGTTTACAATTCCAAACACACTCATGAACGGTCCGCAGATATCCACCAAGAAACATGGAAATTGACGGTCGATCACGAATGGCAAGTTCTTAATGTAGTATGCAACGTTCTGCATTGTCGGATCTCCACCACCGTCTCCTTTTTGGAGTTTACATTCCAAATTAAGTAGCAGTGTCTCTCCAAAACGATAGGAACCATCTGACACTGAGCCATTAACAGTTGCCGGGGTGATCGTCGAGACTGGATTGTCACCGAGCAGGTA